GCATACACCAATTGGACTCATGGCAGCGATTTAGTAGAATTATTGCGTTTAGGGGAACCTAATACCGCCTTTATTTCTAATTCCACACTCTACGATATTGAGACTATTAACGTGTTACTTTCTGTCAGCGAGCAGTAGAAGATATTGAACAACGCTGCTTTAATTGGACAATCTTTTAAAAAAAGTTTTATTTTAGAACTGTGATATAAAAAGTATAGCGTGGCAGTTCATAGTTTCAACGAGGTTTCGAAATTTTGCAAGAGATGTCTTCCGTTATTAATGCAGCAAAAAAGATACGTAGATACCAAGAAACGAATTTCTGTCATAAAAACATGTAATATTGTGTCTAATTTTATTTCTAAATTAGAGATATTCGTTGCTAACCATTATTGTGATGCTTTAATCGGTTATATTTCTTCTTTATGGTATTTCTAATTCCGTCCTCTATATGTGCATTATGCCATTTTTCCTAACTGGTCTACCTCTAGAATACCTCTGACGCTCCCTCAGCCTCCTGTCCAATGAGTAACAAGATCTTTTTCCCAGAGTAAATCGGCCAGGCGGGATGCTGACCACATCACCTCACCCTATAGTCCATGAAACCCCATGGGCTTTCTTAACAGAGGATATCTTTATCAACCTTATGTGCTCTATTTTGAGTCGTTTCTATTTCTAGCATATATTGTGTGCCATAGTTGTATTTTTAACAAAAATATGTATAAGGATGCGATATTAGGAACACTTTTTTTTGAGGTCGTAAAATGCTACTTTTATTGTTTTTCTTCCGAAAAGATAGTTAAAACAAATTTTGAACGCATTTATGCCATGATGATCATATTACGATAATCCTAGAATAAAATAATGCTGTTTAGTTATATTCTTATAAGTTTTCAGTCAAAATTTTGGTTTTTAAAAATGGGATACGATATTAGGCAGTTCTCCTATATGTTGGAAATTCACAGCAAGATCCACGATTGTCTTATTTATGTCCATTTCTTATACTAATTGTAAGTTATTACTACTGTAGATTAACTTTAATCTCGATTTTTTAACTTACTTTTTATCTTTTTCTAGTCCTAAGAATTAAATCGAGATTAAAGTTAATCTACATTGATAGGAATGCACATTAGACACGGCCATTTTAACATACATAGTGTTCTATATATTCTAATTGCGACATTAGTTCCACGTGTCATAAATTTCCCGTTTCCGATATTTACACGCGCATCGTTTGTTTGTCTCTGCGCTAAATCTCTCTCTCGGTTAATTCCCATCCGCCCGTCTCGGCCTACTCTGTCTCTCAGACCCATGCTAATGCAGGCTGCAATTTGTATAATTTCGAAATGGGTTAAGCACGCGTCGGAGCATCCGAGGTCGATAACTTTTTCTACCTCCGCGATAGAACGTCGTTATCTGCACGTGCTCTTCCGCAACGGCGCTCGTTCTAAAAAAGCATAGTGCTTACTTTACATTTTAATGTCTCCGGAGTCACGTCGACATCTCGAAGTGCTACTAATTTCATGGACTTTTAACTGTAAACTCGCCGATCACGCTTCCCAGTTATATGTCGAGTGAAATGCGCGGCCAAGCGCGCGTATACCTTTTATAGAAAAATTGTAATAATCACAAACTTTATAGTATAGCCTTTGACATATAACCATAATTGCAAGGGGTAACTAAACGTCGAGATACAATAGCAATTCCAATTGAGTGATTTTGAATGGTTTTGAATGGTTGATAGCGTCAGTCATGAAGCATAACATTAACGGCATTAATCGTGATTGCTGGAGCGTTAAGACGCTGCGATAATCGATACTATACTATATAATCTGATTATAAGTAGGTATTGTATATATCTCTGCTACTAATATATAAAAGAGAAAACGGATGATAACTTTAGAACACTCCTCAAACATGAGCTAATCAAATGAAATTTCTCTAGCGACTTGGCACTCTTAATAAAAATATGATATTTTCCATAAAAAGATACGACAAAAATTAGAAATAAACTCTTCAATTTTTATTCGCTGTATCTCGTTGCAGAATATGGCAAAATTAATTCGGGAGAAAAATGTTGTCTTTTGGTTATCAAATTTGACATACCAATATATCATAACTACATTTACTACTAATATAATTTTTATCAATTTTCATGATTTTTGACATTTTAACAGAGCTGCAAGAAAAAAAATATCTGCAAGAATTATCTTTATTTTATTTGACTGACATTATAATTTTTAAAAATGTTTATTTGAACAAATTGAGAGATTGAACCCTGTTATTAATACTGTTTTAGCAATTATATAGTTGTCGTATTGTTATATTAACGAGCTCGGAAGACGACAAAATGCACATGTAGTATTTTGTGTTGCATTGTCGTACTTGCATGGTCTCCTTCATGCAAGAAGTTTCAGCCGATGAAAACCGACGGGGAGCTATAAGTGCCACCAAGTGTAATAATTATCATTGTTACAGCCCGTTTTTGCGCTCGTAAAAACTTTATGCATACGTAGCAAAATTTAACTCCAAGCGCTACTAATTAGCGGCGTTAAATGCAACGAATGCTTACAAACGCAAACAGCGTTTCCACCATAATACTTGAAACAGCTGCCTTTTCATCATGATGTTCGTTGAATGTAATAAATGTTACCGTATTTCCGTAGAGATTTTTAAAATATTTTAGTAGAAAAAAGTAAAATATTTTCTGACAAATTAATTTTAATATTTAGTTACCGCTTAAATTTTAAGAGAAATAATTTTTTTATAGAAATTACGCTCAATTTGCGGTGCGGTAGAATATTTATTATTAATTGAGTAAAGAATATTCTCTTATGAACTATTTGACTTCGTCGAATTGTTAAGTTTTAATTTAAGTTTTCACTAGAGCTGCGCGTTAAGTTTTATTGCTTCATCTTTCTCCTAACCCAATATTTTTGTAATATCACGACGACAACTTCACGCACACGCAATCAATCTCTTTATGTAATATTCATAAATTTGCACAGTCACCTCGCGGATGCTGATGCAAAAAGTTTCGCAGGGATTGCTACGGTGAGATAATAACAGAATATAAACGACGGTGGATTAGTCTGGCGCGAATTTCCGAGTCGATTTTTCGATGAATCTCGGCACCTGCACACATAAAACCGAAATCACTTAAACTATACTAAGGCTGTAGGAATACAATTGGCAGTGATGGACACCCATGTTCGGCGGATAAATCACTGTTTGTAGATATTCGTGCTAAAGCCCATAAATCGTAATCCTTCCATATTCGAATGTTCATGCGCCATATGTTCTCTCTATTTCGCAAGTGACAGTTGGTCCGAAAAGCTATCATAAATGCATTTCTTATAAATTTTTTTTTTACTTGTTATTTAGAGTTTTTCGCGTTAGATTCATTAATTAGTTTCATAAAAAATATTAGAATATGAATTACAAACAACAAGTACTGTTACAAAATGCATTGCACAATATGTTAGCTCGGTAACTCGATAACTCGCTTTATTAAGGCATTTTCACGTAATTTTATTTCTCTCATGGGACTTAAAAATTTGATAGAAAACAGTAATAATAAATTAATTAACTCCCGCGATTTGTGGATGAAGGCAACACTTGTTTGTCGAAACAATCTCGTGATTTATTCATATAAAGCAAAAATTGAGTGATGGAGAACGCAACAATAAATCTTTATTTCATTGCGCGATATTTATTTCCTTCACGATATTCGGATTCGGATGTATTTCTTATTACGTTTTACATTTTCCGATTGATGTGTAATTCACCAGCTAATTTCCGGATTGAAAGCGCGGAGTAATATCGCTAAATCGATCTTTTACGTAGCAAAGAGTTAAATATTTGATAGCTAATTTATCAAAGCTTCTTTATTTCGAAAAGCAATAGAACATTCGGTGATTAATTTACAGTACGTTAAATATCTCGTATATAGAAACTACATTTCAACTTGTGCAACTTGTGCCTTGGCGTTTGTTTAAGCATGTCGCTGCGTACGTAAGGTCGTCGCGCTATCATTTTCTTTCTCGAGACATAATATCATAAACGTTATCACACCTTAAAATTACGATAAGTGATTTGCTCGTATAATCAATTTTTCAAGAATAAATGGCAAGAAATGAAGCTTATTTTTCTTTCATCTCATCGAGATTACTTTCTCCCATCATAAAAGGTAATAATAATAGAGCCCGTAATTACAAAGAGCGTATAATATCACTAATGTAGAGATCTTTTCTTCTCCTTTGCAATGCTTTTTAAACTCAATTCAGTATCTCGACAATGTTAATCGTGATCGCTTGCGAGAAAGTCCTGAGTGGAACGTTGGGGATGAATTTCGCGAGAAAGAAAAGCAACCTATTCTTTATGATCTTTGCACAAAGTGCGGGACGTCGAGATGGATTTTTCTCTGCGATGAAACATTTCGAAGCGGAGTAAGCGAATGAAGAGTCACCCCGTAATGTCCAAGCAAACTTTTCACACGTGCAAGAGATGGGAAGAGATCGTAATGCGATTCCCTATGGCAGATCTCCATTATTTCTCTTGAACGTAATATTTGCTGTTCCACACAATACGGCTTCAAAATCCAATCCTTTTTCGAGATGACTCACGGTGACAACTTTTCTCGTCTACGACATCAGTTATCATATTAATTGACATAATCTCTTTCCTGAGAAAACTTTCAACAATAACGTGCATTGGATGAGAGAATAACAAGCATAAATCACAATCACATATAACGTATGATACAAAATATTGCTGTAATAACTCGTAATTATATGTCTCATCGTTCGTAAAATCTTCATATTTACGGTGTACGGAGTATAGGATTGCACGAGCTCTCTAACACGAGTGCGTATATCGGAAATCGCGCGATAAAACAATTTGCTCGCTGATTACGTTTTGTCAGGAGCAATCGATATTTAGTGTCTCAATTACGGACTCAATTTCACCGGACGAATCACCACCGTAATGTATGTTTGTTTCAGGGAGCGGCGAGCCGTGGTTGAGAAGCGAGAAGCATGCCGAGCTCGGGACGGAGATTTTACTGCCCTGCGTCCTGAAATCACCGCAATGCGAGGGTCTGCACAGCATCAAGTGGTACCGTGGACCCACGAGGATTTTCATTTTCAGCGAGGACGCCGGGATTATACGCGGCAATAACGACATTGCTCTCAGGTAATTAAAGTATTATATTGAGACTTGAATGCATAATGCTAGTGAGTTCAACCCGTGCCTTGACTTAATTAGGCCGCCTCTTTTGCAGTTTCTTTTTCTTTTTAGAAACTAACCTAAATTTCTTTATTCCTCAATATATTTCGCGATGCCAATTAAAATCATAATATGAATTTACTAAAACTCGCGATAATAATCACCAATTTTGCGACGTAAACCGAAGATAATTAAACTTTGGCCTTTTATGTTTTTGAAATATTATTCAAAGTATTAAAAATAATTTCTCAAAAAAAAATCTACGTTATTTCTATATTGAAATATAAGTTGAATTTGAAGTATAAGTTTGTAGATATCTATTTCTCTATTTTATACAAATGTTTAAAATTTTTTTGGTCTTATATTCTCATTAATATTCTTCGAATTTCTATCTTTTGCCCAAAAAATGTTAAAAATATTATAGAATATCTATTACATAACTAAACAAATAACATATTTTCTTGAATTGTGTTCGATTTTGGTTTTGATAATTAGCTGCTTCCACGATTTGTAACTATCGCGATTATGCTCATTTCGGGGTCATCACCCTGTAATTGCATTTTGTGGTTTGCGGTCTATATTTAGAAACCGTGTAGCTTCGAATACGTCAAATGCGTTAAATGCGCATGTGAATATGTACACGTGAACATTTAGAGCATGAAACTTCCAATTGGTAATTATCAAAGTCTCTGATTGTTTTAATAATATCCGGTTCACCCATTATCCCTATAGTTAATTTGACACAGTTTACGTATTGTTATTTGCATATAAAACTCTTAACACGTACCTACATGTACTACAAACTTTTAATCCTGTGGAAACAAATATACAGTAACACGTAAATAACAAGTTAGTGAATAAATTAACAAGTTTGTGAATAAATAATTGCATTATGATAAGAGAATTAATAAACATAAAATAAACATTGTTAAATATAAAACTTTTATAATATTTTTCTATATTATATAATATTAAAGAGAGAGGAGAAAACTGATATATAACATAGAAAGTACAATAAAAGTTGTCTTATTATTAATGACGAAAAAAATTTAATTAATTATTCGATTACAAAAAACTTGTAAATTTTAAGCTTGTAAACATTTAGCTGCAAATGAAGCAATCTCGTTATCTCCATTAAATAAATTAGCTACGTCTTTCGATTGTAATTCGCCACTATAGCTATTTACTCCGCGAGCATTATTGTTTGGGTACAAGCGCGGCAACTAGGCACTAGGCATACAAACTCGAATCTGAAACGTTCCTTAGAGATTTCATCCGATAACACCGTGTTTCTCTACGTGCCAATTTGCATTAATTAAAATAAGCTCACCAATATCCTTGAATAATTAACAACGAAAAGCGATAAGCTTTATTGAATACTGATTAATTATTTTCACTCATTTACTTCCTCAATTTTTCAGACTAGTTAATATTATTATTAAAATTTAAATACAATTCTACTTTTCTATCGAATTAGGTGAAAACTTAATTCGGCATTGAGACTTACACTTAATGAATTTTATTTCGTAACGTAAGAAAAGATACCACTGTCAATTTAATTGTAAAAGTTACAGCTGAAAAAAATGTGGAAATTATAGGATATTCGTTTACATATTTAAAATATGGTTTCCATACTTCTATCAAGCTAATACGAATTAAAGTAACACGATTTATATTACAAAAGGACAGGCGTTACAGATTAGCTGTCAATAAAGTGATTCTTATTTAATTCCATTAGCACGCTTCAGTAGCCACTTATCGCTTTTCTTCTTTGCCTCGCATATTTAGTCTGACATGGTAACGATACAAGATGATTTTTATTTTTTATATGCGACTTTAGTCTTTTTTTCTATTTTTGAAACGAGAGCATTAGCAGCAATAGTATTTTTATGTATCATTTTTTGCAATACGTCGAAATAGATATCACTGTTGTAAATTTCATGCTTGAAAAAGATAAAAAATATCAACGAGAAAATGTTCGATCTGCACTGTGCATTTTATTTGTTTGAAATATTATGCTCTCGCTCGTCGAAAAATAACAAGATTACCTGTGATGACATGATAATAAAAGACAAATACATATATTACAGTTTGATGCATATAGACACATATGCACATGTATACAAAAGGCAATCTTGAGAAATTCATTTTTAAGACGATCTATAGTTCTCCAACGTTTTTCTTTTATCTAAAGAAATTACATAAAGTTTAAAATATTTTATATAAAGATACTTTTATAATATTTGCAGATGTGCTCAATTTTTTTTAGTAATAAAATTTTGTATTGTAATAATGTCTTAGATCGATCTTTTTATTCTACATCAGTATTATATTCGATCTGCTTTGGAGTAGTGTACAGTAATTTTATTTAAAAGCCTTACTTCTATATTTGCTACAAGACTCTTTGGTATACACTTCGCGGTAGAGATCTCCTAGAGATGATATCTTTTGATAAACTCTGAGTCTCTGTTATAATATATTTCCTAGATCTCTCCCCAAGTTTTAGTGAAATATTACAACGGTAGTGATATTGTCAAACACGATGTTTGCATCACAGCGAAGTGCGTTTTGCGTAATTAAATGATACTTGATTAAAGTATCATCCTCTACGATTAAGTAAACTGTTTAGGCTTTATATACGCGTTAAAGAGATTGTAATATTATTTGATTATAATTTTATGCATTTATTTCGTTATTATATAAAACCAAACGTAATTTTCTGTACAAGTTTTCTGCTAATAAATACTATCAATATCGACAAAGGTCGATGATTATTACTGTTAAACAAAGCGAATATTATACTTTTTAATAACAGTTTTGTGCTTACTAAAGTGGAATATTCACTTTTCTTCATGAAATTTGTTTTTTTCTACTATTTTTTCCGTCGTGGATTAAAGGCAATTTTGAGTAACCTACTTTTATACGTTATTCATGCGTATATAGTATACGATAGCAAAGCAATATTCGGTAATTATGTTGTAAATCATGTGCAATACATTTGCATTACATAGCTGTGGGAAATACGTCGGTTGTATACGACGTATTTCCTACATTAACGTAATGCAAATTTTGAGCAAAAATTTCCTTTAATTGCATTTAATTACGAAATACATTCAGTCATTAGTTCGATATTTTACATACTTATGTTCGCGAAAGATAAAATCACAAAAACATAATACAGTCGAAAAAAATGATAATTTTCGACATAAAAATGCAATATACTAATGCCGCGTAGTAAAACATAAAAGGTCGCTTTTATAATGCTAATGTAAAATATGTCCTCTATTTCTAAGATTTTATAATACGACATGCTATTATCCGGATTAGTTGAAATCCGGATTTAGAACTCGGAAATATAAAGTAATGTTGTGTATGTTGTATTGTCGCTGTATGTAAGCTACTTTATTACTTTGCGGTGTTACAAAGAACGTGTCTCTTGGTAATGTTATTAGTTATTTTAAAAAATTTCGCATTTACTTCATTACTTTGGGGAGTTGCAAAAAACGTATTCCTTAACAATGTTATTAGTTATTAAATAGAATGTCTTATATGTATGACACGTACTCCTGAAATTTTAAGAATACTCTTATTTAAACAATATTCTCATTTAAATATGTTTGCGCGAAATTACTTCTAATAGTAAAACTATTTTATATTTTGATATTTTGACAAAAAAAATTTAAGATAGTCAAAATATAAAAGAAACAACTGCAAATTAGAATAAAGAAATTTTATTGGTAGAACAGAAGATATGTTGGATATCTTATAGATGTGAACACGCATACTTATCACAGTGTATAACATTGATGGTCTAATTACACGCGAGTGCAAAAGATATACATAGTTTCATGCGGAGCGATGTCGCTGATTAGCGGTGCAGCACATCGTCGTATCAACAATTCGCTAATGACGCCGTAAACGGCTCGTCGATCAAACAGCACGCCGAAATGTCGGCTGACCGCGATCACCCGCGTTTCATACCAACGCAGAATTTGCGGCCTGCAAAAACAATGATTCGTCACACGCTATACGGGTTAACCGGGAAAACGCGGAATAAAAGCAATACGAACATTTCGGTTGAAAATTGTTCGTGTCAATATTTAATCTAGTTAATAAAAGCGGATTTTGGAATATCGTACGATCGTATATGCGTATAGCGTATAAACGCTGTGTATGTTGAACATTAGTGTTTTATTTTTATCAAAACGTGTGCGAAAATATCATTTTTACCATTGTTAAATAAGTACGCTTAAGCATTTACAATTTTGTAGAGCAAAAAGGGGAAAGAAATATTGATTTGAATTTATTATTTCCATTGTTTTTTTTTTTTTGCAATGCACTTTTGGGCACTTTTCTGTCATGATCCATCTTTAGATAACAAGTAATCAATTTGATGGGGATGTAAATTGTATCGAGTTACGGCCGCGTCCAATAGCGATGTGTACCGACTACTGTACTTATATGTCGATGCATATATATTCAGTATCATCTATTGACAGAATATCGAACGCGACCTATATACGTATAGTATATGTATATGCGCCCATTGACTGTGCGTTTGCTTGCCATTTACGGATATAAATGACGAGACCTTCGGATGTCTTGTTGCTTCACAGTTTCCTGTCGTGAATTAATGGCCTTGTGAGAATGCACTTGAATTAATGGCCTTGTGATCCAATTTAATTACGAGCATTCGGAATTTTTGTGGCACTACATAACTACACGTAACTACTACGTAAAAACATATTCGTCATACAATTTACTCCCGTTGTAAATTAATAATGCATACGATTGTATCGAGAGATCTTTCGATCCCGTTAATATTTCTGGAATACGTACTCATAGATGCATCAGATGTACGTAACATGCAATGTAAATAGAATTCGGTTCGTATAACACATATGATCGAATAGCACATATGACGATAATATCACCACCTTATCGTCATAAATGGATTATGCTACTCAGGCGGGATAACGAGCAGATTAATTTCATTGATTGTCCGATTCATTACCCGGTGTTAATCGCAATTCGAGATTGACATTACCGTGAGGTCATTATACTTGTGTTGGCATGAACCACATAACGGCATAATACCGCGCGATCGTCATTAATAAAGTATAAACAATCAATGTGTTTACGATTAATGAAACGCTGCGCGCGTTATAAACGTGAGTGACACCAATTATACGAAAATAAAACCGGCACGACGTGGCGAGCGAAATTTATTAGATTCTAAAGGAAATATATTCGTCATTGTTGTCATGTGAAATGCTGATTAAAAATTCATTGAACAAAAACGTTCCCTCCATTTTTACCGCCCAATTATAATTTCAATATTAGCAGATCTTTTTTACTACACATTATATTAAATTATACACGTCAAAATTTCAAACAATAAAAATTAATTTGGGAAATTATAAATTAAATCACGTTTTTGTTCTAATTTTCAAATCAATCTAGCAGTATGAATGTTTTACGTTATGAATGTTTCAGGGCGAACATATTGCCTGAAGGCTGAAAATAAATCACGATTTTTGTTACAATTTTCAAATTAATTTAATTAACAGTATGAATGTTTTACGTGAATGTTTCAGAGCGGACATAGAATATTCGTCGAATTCATCGAAAACATATTTAAAAATACCTGAGGTGCAGCTGGAGGACGAGAGTCTATACAAATGCGAGGCTACGTACATGGCAGTCAACCGCGAGTGCAACAACGTGCAGCACATTATTCTTAACGTCACAGGTGCGTTACATTACATTATGCGGCATTACCGGATTAACATTTTTCGGAATAAGATTAAATTTTTTATCAAACTGGAGAGGGAAAGTGAGGGGATATTAAAAGTTTATACTTTTAAAAATTCAATTTATTAGTAATATGATTTTGGCGCTTAATGCACGAAGTATATAAAGATTTTTCGGATATTTTATAGAGAGAGATACCGAGAGATTTACGGAAACTATTTTAAAACTTTTCGCATAACTTCTCGCCATAAATTGCACGCGATATATTTTTAGCCGTATACGACCTCTGTTTGTTATGCAACCTCTCCTGTGTACATTACGTCCATACGTCAAAAACGTGGTCGCAAGTAGCCTGCATTATTGAAAAGGCAATACGGGCAATACGAAGTAATACGTTTCATTATTCATACTTTTGAAAATCTGTTTGCGCACGTTTGTTTTCCTCACGACATATCTTTTTCTTATTACGTTATTACCGGGCAAATTTAACGTGATATTTCGCGAAAATAATACGACAATACAGTGATACTCTGGCATTTTATATGATACGTGAAAACAAATTTACGATGTCCGTACTACAGTCGGAAAGGTGAAAATGGTATGCGCAAATCGGAACATATCGCAAAACTCGCCATTCCATAAATCAGGCAATGTTTATTTCAAACTAACGGTTACACGTGATCGTTCTCGCCAATATTTCAATTTTGCGCGATACTCCCGAACGATAGACAACTCGTTACGGATGGCCCTTTTACGAGATTGGCAAGTAACGATGTGCTTCCTTTCGAAACACCTCTCGAAAATAGAAGTCTTATTTACATTTTACGGCCACTTGTGGCAAACGTAAAACATCAATAGTTCATACAATTCGCGTTTTTCCTCTTTATGTGTTGTGCAGCAATGTACTCAAAGTAGGAAGACCGCCACAAAGCAAAAATATATATAAATAGTACATAAATAAAAAAATATATAATAAATAATAAATGAATACTACAATATCAATCTAGATGTTAATAGTGTTTCTGCTTTGAGTAACGCCTATAATTTGATGAAAAGAAAATCAAAGGTAAATGAGACAGTCGTCACAGTCAATTGATAGCGATTTTGTGTTTCGAATTTATGGTCTGTGACTTTTCTTTGGCTTGAATTTTCCTCCTATCTAGTTTCGAATGTTTTTGTATGACTATATCGTCACTCGGTATCGTAACACACTGAATTGAGTGAGGAAATGTATGCATTCCGCTATGCATCAAGTATACTTAATTTTCGCGGAAGCTGGATAACCACGGATAGTGATCTGGGTTAAACCCATGTCAAATTATACATCGATAACTCGAGTTATACCGGATGACTCCTAACTTTCCGAAGAGTTAATATCGACAAGTTGAGCTCAAGTTAGGCTCCCATTGATGTGATATCTCACGTACTCTGGATACGTGGAGTTATTTGATAATTCTTGATTTAACGTTTAGATTAATCTCATAAACGCATTATAGGGTCATTTAACGGCTAAATAGCTTCATTGCCACGCGATGTTATTTAATCAGGTTAATGCTTCATCATCACTACGCGGTATCGTGGTTTACTCGCGCTAACTTATCTCATATCAAATTTATACGGAATTATCTTTGCAAATTAAGGGGAAATCCCGAGAAAGTATACGAGATGTCAAAAATTGTATGTATTACATAAAATACATATATTCTGCAATGTAATAAATATCAGTGTTAAATTTTTCATGGAAGTTTTATTAATATCTAAAATCTTAGTTTGGAAGTACAAGAGACGAAAAATAACAAATTTTGCATATTTTTGTATTAAATTGTAACAAATAATACATATATCAATAACAAAAGATGAAAAAGATTTTATTTATAATAAATATGCTATACTGTTGAATTAAATAAAAAAATGTTGAGTAATGCAAGAAAAATCAAATATTACTATAGCTTCTTCTTCCCTAGATATCATCAGAAGCTACATTAGAGTCGGAAGAAGCATTAGCAGTTTCTAATTATCCGGCACAGAATTACGGCTTAATTGCGTTATTAAGTAATTCCGTAATAGGGCCTGCACTTAAATTTCAGATGGGAAGACCTCCAAATTCATCTTGACAGAAAAGATCTTCTTCCTTCTGCCAGCCGCAAGTTTCTTGCAAGGCACACCACTTATAAATGTTGTGTTATATCTGCATTATCTTCGGATGTTTATGAAGAATGAAATAATCCTCCTCTGGAGTGGTTATTCAACGAAGGTAGCGATTTTCCGCGAGTACATGTACGCGAGTCGTCATCGCGACGGACGTGAATAGAATCACTGTGTACACGAAATTCTGGCTGCTGATCTGTCTTCCTCGCTGTCGTGCACCATGCCTCGTGACATCATAGCGAGTTAAACGAGTAGGGTGGAGTTTTCAAGTGTATAATCGCGACATAGTACCTACCTATATAGGTACATAGTAACGCGTAAGCAGCATTCAGAAACTTTCATCTTTCATAATGGAGTATTGTATTCTTCTTAAAGTTCCAAAACCGAAGACCGCCTTGGAAATTAATTTCGCGGTCTAATTAAAAAGATAAAGTCAGAGTAATTATTCCCGAAAATTCTAAACAGCGTAAATTGGATGAAATAATTATTTATTAATTATTCATTAATTCTATTTATACTTGTCATTATTATTTATCATTATTGTTACCATTATGTGTAATATTTTAAAAAAAGTTACGTTAACCTTTTGAAAAGTGAAATAAGAGCTTTATCAATTTTTGAATTATGGCAGATTTCAAGTTATAGGATGCTCTTTTGTGCGATCGTTTTAAATTTTTAAAAGATTCTCCAACTTTTATCGTTTTGATTGCAAAACCAATTGAAACACGAACGGAACACGAAAGAACTTGGAAAAAGTTGCTCTTGACGCATAACTGATTGTGACCTCAATTTGTCGAACTTCAAGTGCCTCGTGAATTTATGTATCGGGCTGCTTTCTTACGAACGTGTCTTGAATTTTGTTACAAAACGTAATATCACCGTGTATTTAACTGTTTTACAATAAACATGATACTGTTGTGTTACACATATTACAATATTACAATAATTAGAAAGAATGTAGGTTATTTTAAAGACAAATATCACTAATCTTTTTGTGAAAAAACCTTATAAAAAAATTAATTTTATTTTACTTAACAAGAAATTTAATTTAAAACTTTATTAGTGTTTAAGAATAAAGTAACAAGATAAAGAAACAAAAAATGACATTTAATTAAACGTTGTCGAAAAAGAAATAATCGCAAATTTGTTAGATTATTTAATTATAAAGATCGTTTAGTCAAGGTATTATAAATTTTATTTCTTTAATGAGTTGAATAATTTCAATTATGATAATAATCTTAAATCGACGGTTTTAAATTGATAAATAACTTTAATAAACGTTTCTTATCTTTCTCGCGTGCAGCTAATTGTCTTACAAGAAGTCTAGTTGCTCAGTAGAAGGAGGAAATAAAAGAAATGTTAAAAGAAGATAAATATGGACCATTATTCTTCTCTAACTATAATTTTATATTTAATTTAGTAGTTACGTATATATTGTATGATTCTTATATAGGTATGTAATTAAAACAAAGCAGCATGAAAAGAGAAATTCCAACGACAGCAATAATAAATTTTTAATATCCATTAATTAGTTTTCATCAGCTTTGGGAGATGAACTATAATTCATCTTTCGTAAATATTTCCCGAGTCAAACAGAATCTATGAAACATACCAAAATTAAAAAACAGATTTATTGACAAAATGTTTAATATCAGAGCAATTTCTATGTCAGAGAAATGCATAAAAAATTTGAAAGTAATAAAATTAATGGGAAAAAAGTAAAAATATCATAGCTGAAAAATAGATTTATATACAAAATGGCGCGGCTAAATTCTTAATTTATCATAATTCTCAGGATTAAATATTTACGAAAAAAATTTTGTGACTAAGTAGCGCCAATTTCGATAAAATACGGGATACACGTTGTATCCATTATACCACAGCGTGGTGAAGCGACAACGTAAAAGTAGCTTGCGAGCTCTCTTGCGACAGGCGTCGACATTAATCTACATAGAAGAGCACAGCACGAAGCTGTGCGCGAAACGGTATCACGTATCACACCTATATCTGTACTTACATATACAGCGCAGCGCTGCCGGATTATCCGAACACCTCATTCTAGCTAGGACATCACGCTGCAGATTTATCGCCAAATAGATAATATTGTCAGGAAAGTAGAGCGCGCGCAAACAGGATCAGAACGACGGGGATTAGGAAAAGTAACAATTTTCAGATTCGATTATTTTTTAATGTCATAAAGATGAAGTTTGTGAAACTTAGTTCTATTTTAGTATACTACTTCTTTATAAGATTATAAATATAATAAAATTTTCAATTGTATATATATTTTTTTTTGTACATGCAGAGAAACACACAGGAAGATAAGAAAATTTATAACATGCAAAATAATATATATGTGTGTATGCGAGTTGTTACACTATAGTATAAATAAGTGCTATTATTAATTTTTACGTCGGATATCATAAAGGTTGCGCTTTGTATTATTCTCCCGGCTAATCGCTCATTCGCTAGATTGTGCCATTGCAAACTCACGTAAAGCTCTGCAAAATAGCTGTTGGCAAAACGCCGTATAGTTTTAACATGGTGGCGCCCGCGCCGCATGGATGCGCGCTTTTATACGAGATTAGATAGTGAGCTAAAGGTATACAGTACGCGAAACGTTGTTTCTTCTTTCATTTCGTACGTGTTCCGTTTTACGGAGCGTCTTCCTTTTTGCTGCGCAAAATTACAGACAATTGCGATACCTTGTCTCAAAGCGGCGACGACGAAGCCGAGCGTCGCGTCGCTCGGATTCAACGTCGACAAAAATCTCCCAAAAGGTCCTATCAAAATCACTTTCGCGAATTCCACAAGACGTAAAACGTCCAAGCTACTTTCGTTCTACTCTTT